GTTAGATCTGGTAAAACCTCCGTTTCCCTTACACTGAGTGGTTATGTGTTGGACATTGTTGTGCTGTGAGGACTGGGTCTTGTTATATTCCTTCAGACAGTATTTCTGCCTTCGTAGTCAATTAATTTGGCTGGACCCAAACTGCAAGGTCTCTTGATCACTACAGTTCTTTTCTTCTAAGTAGAGGTACTTTGCCTCTGTCCTACACAGGAATGGTTCAAGGGTCAGCCAAAACCTAGGGCAGAATTTACACTAGGATTTAGGGGTTCCTCTCTTTGGCTTTTCCTCTCTGGATTTCAAACTTTGCATATGTGTGAGTGTGTGTGTGTGTGTGTGTGTGTGTGTGTGTGTGTGTGTGTGTGTGTTGAGCATTGTTCCTTCTGGTTTTGTCTTTGAGAAAGGGTCTCATTCTGTAGTTCAGGCTAGCTTTGAACTCACCATGTAGCCAAGGCTGCCCTCGAACTTTCACCAATCCTCCTGCTTCAGCCTCCCAAAAGCTGAGATTGCAGATGTGTGCCACCACACTGGGCTTCTGTCTCCTAACTTTTCAGTGATTAGGTGCTTCTGATCAGGTAGCTACATATGGGGCCTCAGTTTGTTACGATGGCTCACAGAACTTTGTTCTCTCATTCTTTAGGCCACATAGACTGTTAGTCAGCTTTTCTGATATTTTAGTCAATTGTTTTTGTCTGAATCTTTCTGAATTTTAAACAACTGTTCTGATAGAGGGAAAACTTACCTCCTCTCCCACACAACGCCTACACTTGTGATGTGGAGGAATTGTCCTATGCCTCATGCAGTTCATTCTCCTGCAGACACCATCTGGGTGTCCTCAAACTTAACTCATCCTGACACTGTCTGTCTGAGTGTGACTCAGACCACACAGGCAGAGGGCTCTATTGCACGACACAGTCTCCCGTGCCAGTCACATGTCTGGCCCACTGGCTGTGTACCACCGGCCTCCAGAGCCTGCAAGGCTCACAGAATCCAAGAAACACGTTAGCCACCCTTTCCCAGCAGAGACACTGGTGAGCAGTGGGCTGGGAGAGGAACACAGGACAAAACAAGAGGAAGGGACACAGCGCAACCTGCCCTTGCTCTCTACTCTGGCCTCTGTCTTTGCCATGAGCCGCACCTATCCTGGAGTTTTGAAGGGGCCACTATCCTCTAGTTAGCACCTGCACATATAAGATAGTCTTTTCTGTCTGGCTAGAGATTCCAAGAATTTTACTTAGGAGCTATATGCTAGAAAACGAGAACATGACCAGATATGTTTTTCACAGTGTCACAGACTGAATGATGTCACTTGCAAAGCCAAACGTCACTGAAAACAAGAATAGTGACATCCTTTCCTCCAGGATTTAGCCCTCCCCGCCTCAGCCCTCACCTTTTTCCAGCCTGATAACCTAGATGCCTCCACGCCACAGATGGATGGCTGTCCCTTTCCGGCAAGGGTGCCCAGCCAGTCACTGTCATGGAAGGGATGGCTGAACCAGATACTGGGAGCAGAGCCCGTTCTTGTGTAGAGTGACATCTCTGTGTGTAAACTGTCCTTGCTGGAAGGATTCTGCTCCTGAAAAACAAAACCGAAGGTTTGAAAATCCAATATACTTGTCCTGTTTCCATCCAAGTTTTAAAATACTCTGACAGCATTCTGAGACCTGCGTGGATCTTCATCCTTTTCCTAAGTCATTTCTTTTCTTTTCTTTTTCCCCTGTCTTTTTTTTTTTTTTTTTTTTTTTTTTTTTTGAGAGTTTCACTATGCAGCTCAGGCTAGCCTTGAACTCATTTTGTAGCCCAGGCTGGCCTCAAACTTGCAGTGATTCTCCTGCCTCAGGCTCCTGAGTAGTGGGAATACAGGCGTGCACCACCACACCTGGCTTGCTAATTGTTTTTCTTTTCTTGTCTCAACTTTCCAAGACCTACCAGGCATTTTATCCCCATCTCTTCTCCTCAGTGGCAGGATTTTACTAGAACTCCTCAGAAGGAAAAGCTGATTGAATTCCCTCTGCTAAGTGTTGCTTTTTATCTGATTAACATTTCAAATGGATTGTTTCTTTTTTTTAAAGTTTTATTTAAAAGGAAAAAGAGAAAAAACAAAACAGTGTAAGGTACAAGTAATACAGAACTACAAAAAAAAACAAAAAACAAAAAACAAAACAGTAAGAAATCACCAGTTAATAGATTACACATTGTCATCTTAGAAATAGTTGCTCAAGTCACAGGATCAAAGCATACAAAGTGGACATTCAAACAGTGAGACCACAAACAATTGTGTTCAATGATCCACAAAAACTCAGTAATATGGTCGTCTGTCCTAACACACCTAAACACACTTGCAGTTGTATCCTTTAGAGCACTTTTTTTTCCTCTTTTTTAAAACAAAATTTACACATTTGGGTTTTATTACTCCCATAGTTCTTATTATTTTTTTTTTGGAAGAGAATAAAACCAAATATGACAAAACAAAGCTGTCAGTCAAAACAAAGGATGGACATGGCACACGATGTAAAAACAGAGTACAAGGTTATCAACAATGGTTAGCATAATGCCTCTTGCTTCCTTAAAAAGAATTGCCTATATCATTAAGTATAATAAAGTTGAACAAAACAGTACAGAACAAGACCAATAAAACCTAAACATTGTTAACATTACAGGACTTCAAAACAAGATAATAGTCAAACCAGAATGGGCATCATAGTGAATCTTAGTGCCTTCAAAGTAGTTGCCTATACCCTCAACCTAGACACTATCAAACAGAATGGAACAGAGTCTAATCAGTCAAAACAAGATAGTGGGAGTAATACCGGACTTCAAGTCAAGTAAATAGGAAATCAAAAAAGTTACTATAATATATCCTACTGGGTTTTTTTTTTGTTTGTTTTTTCCCCTTAATTAAAAAAATAATAAAAAAATAAATAAATTTTTAATGAATAAGGTGGAGATTGAGATAAAAGAAGACATAACAACATAACACTACAGGTCAAAGCATGACAGTTTCAGCAACCTAGTGCTTCACCACCAAATAACCCGACTTAATAGTAGTTACCATAGTGTTTTTTTCCTTGAAATGCTCGAATGTGACTTCATATACTATAGCATCAAACATATCAAGACAGTGTGAAATCATTCAAGTGGATGAAAGTATTACAGGGTATTTAGAACCAGCTAACAGAAAATGAACAATTGTTTCTATATTATCTCTTTGCCTATAAAAATTTTTGTTTATATTATCACATATAATAAAATCCAGTAAGATACAACATGATAAAACCAATGGAGACAGGAGAGCAACAGTTTGGTGGGGCTTCAAAGCAAGATGATATTAAAGCAGCACTAGCTATTATGATGTCTTGACTTTGTCAAAATAGCTGTTCATTTCATCACAGGCAATAATATCAAGCAGCCCAGAATAAAGCCATTCTAATTAATGAGTGAAAACTTTATAAGGCTTCAAGGCCACATAATGGGGAATCATGATTACCACATACTTTTATATATTTGAATCATTTCTTACACTAGGGAAACTATTTGGTATTCACACGTGTGAGTTTGATTTATTTCACTTATGAGTATGGTCTCAAGCTGCGCCCATTTATTTATAAATATCTCAATGTGATCCTTCTTTATAGCTGAGTAGTACTCCATTGTATAAAAATACCACAACTTTCTTATCCATTCCTCAGTTGATGGACACTTGGGTTGTTTCCAAGATCTGGCGATTACAAATTGTGCTATTATAAACATGGGTGTACATATATCACTGTGGTATGATGCTTTCAGTTTTTCTGGGAATATGCCTAGAAGTGGAATAGCTGGAACAAATGGGACTTCGAATCTCAGCTTTGTGAAAAATCTCTAGACTGACCTCCACAATAGTTGCACCAGTCTACGCTCCCACCAACAGTGCAGGAAAGTTCCTTTTCCCCCACAGCCTCTCCAGCATTTGATGTTGGTAGTTTTCTTGACCCTGGCCATTCTTTTAGGAGTGAGATGGAATCGCAGTGTGGTTTTAATTTGCATTTCTCTAATGACTAATGATGATGAACATTTTTTCATGTATTTATTTGCCACTTGTATTTCTTCATCTGAAAAGTGTGCATTCATCTCAGATGCCATTTTTGGATTGGGTCTTTGAATTTTGGGGGTCTGAGTTTTTTTGGATTTTGTTTCTTGATGGAAGAAGATAATAAAAGGAAGATGTATGTTCCTGAGCATTTATTCTGACATCTGGTTGATACTCGCCAGAGCCAGGTTGGGCAGGAATGTTCCTTGAGATAAGCCAAGGTGTGCTCTAGAACAGGCCAGAGGGCCATCAGCCTGGAGTGAGTGGCCAAGAGCACGTGTCATCCTTCTCAGGCACAAGAAGAGTAAGACTCTATCAGGGCAGTGGTTTAGGCTCGGATGTGTAGATTAAGAATGTGGCACTGTAAACATGCAGACTAAAGATGGTAGAGGAAAACTGACAGGACCAAGGTTCGTAGAATTGGGAGCCCTGAATCCTACTTGAAAGTGCCAGATGCTCCAGCACCTCTTTTAGAGCTCTGTTCACTTTGTGTGTGGATTTTCCTGTCTGCAGGAATGCATTTCACAGGATGGCACAGATTAACTGGCAGAAGTGTGCATGTGGACGCATTGGAGGGAGGAGCGGAGGGCTGGGGTGTGTTTGTGCGTACAGACAGAGGGTGGGACAGAAAGAGAAAGACACTTATCCCTTCCTGTCATCACTCGGTCTTTCCTGAGGGCCCTTGCACCGACCTCTGAAAGTAACCATTCACCTTTGCCCCTTGGAGGAACAAGTAGAAAAGTGTGTGCTTGTATCAAAACAACATCGCAGTGTCTTGAGTCAGCATACCCTCTGTCGACTTCCTGTATGTGATCCGTGTTTTTCCAACCATTCCCCTGTGAAGAAAGTGAGAAACAAGCCGAGGTCAAAAATGTGTTCTAAGTGTCTCTTTTAGCTTTTTAATTCATTCCCTTGTTAAATTTCAATTTTCCAGGGTCCAGAGCAGCAAATCCCACCTTGAACCCCCGCTCGTTCCTTCTCAGGAGCTCCAATGAGGAATTCGAACAGTTCCCTATGGACGAGGAAGGGGAGGCGGACAGCAGCACGGCGCCTGAAACCAGAAACACTTTCTTCAACAAGAGCAGTCCCCTGCGGAAGCCACACCAGCCCTTCATCTCGGAGGACGCCTCAGGCTACCTGACCAGCTCCTGGCTGACCCGCTTCGTCCCCTTTGTCTACACCACAGTGGTGCTCGTCAGCCTCCCGCTGAACCTCCTGGCCATCGCCGTGTTTGTCCTGAAGATGAAGGTGAAGAAGCCGGCCGTGGTCTACATGCTGCACCTGGCCATGGCAGACGTGCTTTTTGTGTCCGTGCTGCCCTTTAAGATCAGCTACTACTTCTCCGGCAGCGACTGGAAGTTTGGCTCTGAAATGTGTCGATTCACCACGGCAGCCTTCTATGGTAACATGTACGCCTCGGTCATGCTCATGACAGCCATCAGTGTGGACCGCTTCCTGGCCGTAGTGTACCCCATCCAGGCCCTGTCCTGGCGCACCCTGGGGAGGGCCTCCTTCACCAGCCTGGCCATCTGGGCTATGGCCATCGCTGGGGTGCTGCCGCTGCTCCTCAGGGAGCAGACCGTCCAGGTCCCGGGGCTCAACATCACCACCTGCCATGATGTGCTCAATGAAACGCTGCTCGAGGGCTTCTATGCCTACTACTTCTCAGCCTTTTCAGCCGTCTTCTTTTTTGTGCCTCTGATCATTTCCTCCATTTGCTATGTGTCCATCATCCGGTGTCTCAGCGCTTCCACGGTCGCCAGTCAGAGCAACAAGTCCCGGGCTGTGTTCTTGTCGGCAGCTGTCTTCTGCATCTTCCTCATCTGCTTTGGGCCCACCAATATCCTCCTGATCACGCATTACTTGTTCCTGTCTCACAGTCCCGCCACGGAGGCCGCCTACTTCGCCTACCTCCTCTGCGTCTGTGTCAGCAGCGTCAGCTGTTGCATCGACCCTCTGATCTACTATTACGCCTCCTCTGAGTGCCAGCGCCACCTGTACAGCATCTTGTGCTGCAAAGAAAATGTGGATCCCAACAGTTACAACAGCAGCGGTCAGTTGATGGCAAGTAAAATGGACACCATCTCTGCTAACATGAATAATAGTATCTACAAGAAGCTGTTAACTTAGCAAAAGTGACTGCCAGTCAGTTAAAAAGAAAGGTTAAAAAGGTGAAAAGCTCAGGAATTCTGTTAGTCCCTGGAAAAATTACTTCATCACCTAAAATAACAAATGTATGATTTGCATACCTGCTTCTTAGGAGAGCATCGATATTGGTTAATTACCGGAAAAAGTAACAGGAATGAAAGGCAGTATTATTCCAAGGGAGAATTGCTGGTGCTACGATAACTGAATGTCACTTTTTATATGTATAGGTGACTCATATATATGTATGTGTATGCACACACAGGTATTATCTGCAGCACGGTATGGTTTAGGCACTTTGAAACCCTCTCTTTTTGCCCCTAGCAATTAGAGAGAGAGAGTGAAAAATACAGTGTGTAAAGTCTGAGTCTCTGACTTGATCTGCAGAGTCTAGGCTGGTGAAATTTTAGCCCTGAACCTCTGAAGATGCCTGAATAGTGACAGATTCCATAGTTTAGACTTAAACATGGACGGCATATGTCTATATGTCACTTATTTTGCAGATATGTGTATTTTAGAATTGTTTGACAGCAATGTTTAACTAATAGAAGGATGAGACTTGGTAGTGTCAGTGGTTTAGATTTTGAAAGCTGTCAAGACATCTGAAAAGCCTGTTTGCCATAGTCGGCAGCTGGCACTGTATTGTATTTGTGAACGGAGACCAAGCGCATTGCCACATGTGACTGCAGTGGGCCTTCCCGAGCTGCCCACCTCAGGAGCTGACCCGGCTGGACTGGGGACTCCAGGCGGGACCCAGTGAGATCCAGGCCACCAAACTCTTCTGGGCTTCCTGAGGCCCCAGATGTGAACCACACATGTCTGTTAGAAACGGGCAAAGCCGGGTATGATGTCCAGGAGGCAGCAGCCGTCAGAGGCTTCTCTGGCTGTCTTGGACCAGGGGAACGCCTGCAGCACCCTGACCAGGACTGAACCCTGCCCTCAGGAGAGCATCAGGGGCATTATGTGGATGTTGGGTGATACATTGATGAACACTAGGCAGTGCCTCAAGCCAGGTGTCACCCAGTGCATTTTTTCACCAGCGAGACCTGCCTGCAGAAGAGCTGGAACACTTGGTTTCTGAGGCCAGTGGTTGTCACATAAAATGAAAACATGACAGAGGATGCATATTTTTAAAAACAAGTCATTCGGCCTACATTAACTGGACAGTATTTATTTATAAATGTTTTGTTCAAAGATAAGTTTTCAAGACTCATTTATGGCAGACTGGTTAGAAATAACAGGAGAAAATGGCTTTGGCATTGAAATCTAGGAAAATTATTCTGTGTTTTTCAGTTTCCTTAAAAGTTAATGAAATGACTGGAGATATAGCTTAATGGCACAGTGCCTGCCTGGCAAGTGCAAGGTCCTGACTTCTCTTCCAAGTGCAAAAAAAAAAAAAACAAAAAAAAGAACAATTAATGAAATGGCTTAAATTTTTAACTCCATGATAAGTATCAAGCATAGAAAATCTTCATAAGTTTAGCAAAGTAAGTGAAAATTAGGTTGAATTTTTTTCTCCTGATTAAAAAGCAGTGGCATTTTAAACAGAAGTGGGAAAGTTGCAAGATAAATGTTTATCTATTTAAAAAAGCAAAGTATTTCCAAATATCAGAATAATTTACATGAGAGTAATATAACTGTATTGTAAGTAGAAGCTACCACTGATTTTATTAACTCAGTTATTATATTTACTGTCATTATTTAGTCTGTATATATTAAAATATCTGTCGTCACAGTACTTAAATGACTTCAGTTTTATGTTCACTCTTTTTAAAATGTCACATAATCTATTAATAAACGTGAAAACGTGCTTGATGTCTCTGTGGAGTGATTTATGTGTATGACCTGGGAGCCTGGCCAGGGAGGCTCACTCTGACTACAGCTGCAGAGCCGTAGGCAGCATTCAGGAAACTGGGGTACCGGTGGCACCCCGCAGACTGGCACTTCTGAGACCCAGAGGGCAGAGGGAGGCACCCCACCCCAGACCTTCACTCTGCCCTCCGGGCCCAGGCTGGAGCCTCCCCTTGCTCCTCATCTCCACTCCAAACCAGAGGCCAAGCAGGTACACTTCATAAAGCGCTGCTTCCTTAAGCATGAAGAGTGGATCTGGGAGAATCAATTGAGATTTTTTTTAAAATCACAATTTCTGCTAAAGACATTGAGTGATTAGCTTTCTGTTTGACTTCTTAGCCCTCTTTAGGAAAATTCAGGTTTATAATGAATATATTTTTAGATTCCTATCTTGTAAATATTGTTGATGACAACTGCAGTTATTCTCTAGTGAGAGAGAAATAAATGTAAAAACAGGAAGAAAGTGGGAGGTGGCACTGCTTCCTGTCCCGGGGAGACAGTCCTGGCTGTCGAGTACTCAGCAGAGGGAGCAGGGGCAGAGTGAGAGCAGATGGCTCTCAGCCTCTGAGAGCTGGAAGCCAATAAAAGGTATTTCTGAAGAAAATACCTGGTAGCCCCAGCACCCTCCTGGAGGGCTGAGGCAGGAGGATCCAAAGTTTAGTGATTTAATGAGTCCCTGTCTCAAAAAACAACACACACAAAAAAATTTAAAGATTCAAGATGTAGTCCTGTCCCACCAGAAGAAAAAAATCTGGATTCACAGTCAATGGAAAAATTACTTCAGGTAAGCAGGAATCGTGATAACAAGAAATTCTTAAGTTTAACACAAGCTTTTTATGTATCTGAGGCCATAGACAAATTACATGAAGTCAGATTTCTGCTCCTCATCACCAAAACAGAATCCTCCCTCCAGCTAGAAAATAACTTTTAAACGCATTATTTTTCAAAATGCAGCTGAGTTCAAAAACACATATGAATTTTATTAACACAAAATGTTTGGGTTTTTTCCCCACTAAGTAAAACATAGTGGTTTTGGAAAAATGGAATAAATGTACAATTGGAAAAAATTTAGGTTTTAGTTCCAGGTTTAAGACATGAAGAAGGCTGGCAGCACATGCTTGAGGAAGCCTTGTGTTCACAGCGAGTGGAAAATGTGAAGCAGCGTTGATCACCCAGCCTTGCAGGCTTCTGAGGCTGGGCCTTCCCGAGCAGCTGATCTCCAAGCGGGAACCGTAATAACTGGGAAGCAGACACTGCTGACAGCCGTCATTTCCTAAATTATTAGCTGTATGACCAGGCCTGTCAGATTATTAGGTTAAACATACGTGCAGAGAAACTGAAAGATAAAGCTAGTGGTGTCTCAGGATGGCATGGTGACTCGAACCACATCTAAGGAAGAGGAGCAGTGGCACAGTGCGGTGATCCCCAAAACCCCTACAGGAGTGTAAAAATTTAAACACTACAAGTGCCCCATTAAACTGTGGCTTGGGGACTAGTATATATATATAAGCCTTGGTCATCCCTGTCTCTCCCCTACAATGCCACCCTACCTTGGAGCCAGCTGATTATACACGGAAACCTCACACTGAGCTAAATACACCTTTACCTTTGGGTGTTGGGTATTTTGTCTCGGCACTGAGAGAAAAAAGACGGAATGAATCATATTTATGAGAATGTAGTATGTTGTCAGATGTAAGGGATTTATTGTTTTAAACTGAAGTATTTTCAAAACTTCTCCATTTTGTCTAATATGGGGAATATTGTTAGAGAAAATCAGTGGTAGCCTGGTAAATTGAAGCTCCAGAAAAATCCCTGACTTGTAGCATTCACCAATTGCAGTGGTATAAATACTCCTTACAGTGCCAATGTCAAGATTCCAACACTTTAACTGTTGGCTTGAAAAAATTGTGGACACTGAATCCTTGAGCAGGTACCAGCTGACACCAACACTCCACGGGATAAAACCCACATACACAAAGTTCCTCGTGGTCCTCAGTAGTTTAAAGTGTGCTACAGAAGCCCCAGCCAAAGAAACTTGAAAGTAAAATTGTTTTTATACAAGATTTCCCAACTTTCCACCCTAAAGAAGACCAAGAAACTGGTAATAATAAAGCAAACAGGAGCAAAGAGTTGATAGATCTGACTATTGAAGCAATAGAAACTGACTCAGGTCACCAGATGCTTAGAGCTCCCAGGGCAGGAAGCCCTGTGTAAGGCCTGGTTTTCAGCTGAGGTCTTGAGGGAAGAGGGGCTGGCATGGTTTGGGCCCCTCCAGCCAAGAGATTATCAAATCAGCAGCCGGCTCCACCCATGCCTGTGATCCTAGAAACTGAAAGCCTGCATGAGGGCAGAGAATGCTGCCTGGATGCCAGGCTAGCATCCAGAGGTCAGGCTCAGCAGCACCTTGGAATTCAGAGAACAGGACTTTTGTGTTTTCTATCCGGCTGAGCGTGACTCAGCCAGTGGAAAGCACACCTTTGAAGCTCCAGGCTTAGTGGACTGTAGCCCGGGAGAAGGCAGGGCTGGCCTAGCTGCGTCGCCCTGAATGACCACCTCGTCAAGGTGAGAAGGTCATCAAAAGAGGCTGCTGCTGCTACTGAGACATATTTATGGCCAAGCCTATAATTATCATGCATGTGCTTTTGTTTTCTATCTTTTCATAGAGTTTACTGGATAAATGTTGTACAACACACTTTAACATTTCACTCTGAGTGCACTGAGGATGAGAAACAATGTACATTCAGTCTACAAAAATGAAATTAGCTGTGGAGATTGAAGTATAGGCAAAAGGTGGAATGAAGCAAAGCTGAAATACTAAGCAACTAAATCAACGTAAGTGAAATAGCAAGATGGTTGTTCTAGATTTTAAACACCACCAAGTTTCCTGTCAAAAAAAAGTCAGAATCTGGTTTGTGACAAAATGGTTTTGAGAATTTGCCATGAGAAAAAAATACTTCAATATATAAAACCTGTTCTCTTCCAATTCTTTTGCTTTCATATTATTATATGGAAAATCAGAACTAGGCAGGAAATGTTAGGCTTTATCAAAAATTAATAGCTTTTGCCTCTCTAATTAGAACCAGAAAACCAAAGGAGCAAGAAACCAGGCCCAGAAAGGTACCAAGTAATGCAGTTACCATAAGAATTCCTAAGCAAGAGTTGGAGGAGGAGTAAGCCAGAAACATAAAAATCCTAGGTAAGCAGACCCTCTCACCTACTTCTGATAAAATGCAAAGGAGAAAAGTGGCAGCCAGCTAAAGACTCTCATTTAATAGGTAAAATACACACACACACACACACACACACACACACACCCATCATAAAGAGACAGGAATGAATCCAACAACCAAAAAGAACATAGACAGAGATCAAACACAGGCAAAGAACCAATCAGATGGTGACAACTTCCAGGTGCCCGCATCAGGGATGGGAAGAATCACCAGTCCTAAACAAAAGTAGCCAGGGACAAGGGCTTGGGGGTATTTCCTTTCTGATTCCTCTTACTGCCAGAGTAGCTGTCTATCTTCTCTTTTTCTATCCTTTTCCAAATAAACTATCTTCCTTTATTTTACTTGTTTTTTGGTCTTTTTATCGGTACCGGGGATCGAACTCACGACTGCCTGCTTGCAAGGCAGGCACTTATGCCGCTGAGCTAAATCTCCAGCCCTTATCTTCCTTTATTTTAAACTCTGCCTCTTTAATTCCTTACCGGTGCAGTGAGTTTACAATCCAGGTAGCTGCATGTCCCCACAAGAAGTGATGTGTATACCCCTCCCCTCACCAGTACAACATCAGGGCCTTCCCATCATTCTACACAAATGAAGTTTCTGTTTTTATTTTGTTGTTTGATAAGGATTCGAACTCACAACTTCATGCTTGCCAGACAGGCGCTGCACTGCTGAGCTGCATTATACTCTGGCCCCAGAGGAAGAGTCTGAAGCTTGATGTACATCTGTTTTGTTTCTTAACCTGAGATACAGAGTAGCTCTTGAAACTGCCCCAAGGCCATGCTCCCCTCTTAGAAACTGGTTTGAACCACAATCTCCAGAGACTAGGCCTGAAGCATGGATATTGTTTGCACACACCTGATATAACTGGCACACCCACCAATTCTAAGGAGTAAGCCAGGGTTCATAGTCATTGCTGGAAAAAGGTGCTTCTCAATTTTCACCTGGATCCCAATTATCTGAAGATCCTACCTATCAAGACAGGTCTGGGGTAGTATCTGTTTGCCTAACAGCTTTGCAGAAAATACCGAAGTTGCTGGAGTTGCTGGTCCCTGCACTACATGTTGAGTGGTAGCAGGACCCTACTGTAAGGGGCATTATAAAATGTAATGTTAAAAGTTACATTTTATTTTTCCTTTAAAGACAAGTTTATCTTCTCCAAGCTTCCACAGGTCTGTGGCATATGGCTACTCCACCGCCCTTCAGCTCAGGGGAACAGACCAAACAGGCAGGTGCTGGTTCCAGGAGGTTCGGTCCAATTTCATTCCCTCAGGCAGGACAGCAAGAGGTCCAAGTCCAAGAATAGAGGGAACAAGCCGTAACACGTCTACTGTGTCCTCGCATACCCTCCCCTCTGTTCCTTACTGTAAAAGACCCCAACACACCTGTTCACTGGGGCAAATGGGCCCTTCCAGCTCCTTAGATCTAGCTTTGAATGATCCTTTTTTAAAAAATAAAGGTCCTCTTTGATTTGGTCAGCAGGGAGCAAAGGAACCTGAACGTGTGAGCCAAAGTGGCTGGAAACATGAAGAGGTACAGTTTGGCTAGAGTAAAAGTCCAGGGACCAGATGTTCAGTTCTCATCTCTGAAACCATTTTTCTCATGCAGTTTTTAAAATTCTCATAAAACTGAGGCAATTTTAATGTAGTAGAAGCATAGACACTTCATTCACATTTGTTTGAGGCAATATCTCTCTTGTTGGAGGCCCCCTTGTTTCTCCAGTTTTCTTCTT